CGAAAATATTTTAGGTATATGAAATTAATTTTTCTTTTTAATTCTCATTCACTTTAGGCTTTTAGTTTTTTCAAATAAAACCGAAATGTAACTGAATTTCTGTCAAAGAGGACATTTATTTTAAATTATTATTTAAATTATTTCTTTTTGTGGGCTTTTGTTAAGTGCTTTTAAGAAGACGGTTCGTCTCACTTACCTTTTCAGGTCGAATCTCTAAAATCTTTTCATAGAAAAACAAACAGGATTAAAAAGTTGCTGTTGTTGGTGGACTTAATATTTCTTTCTCAAGATCGACAATATTATGTAATCAAATAAAACTTCCTATTTTTAAAGAAATTGTAATTAAAATAGATTAATTGTTTGAAAATAGAAATCTCGTAGTTACAGAACAGTACAAACTACTAAGAAGGAATTAAAGGAACCGGTGTAAAAGAAGAATTTGTTCCTTTCTCAAAAATAGTTAGACAATGTCAAAGCATTGATATCTATCGCATTGATTTTCTTTCTGATTTTTCATCAACAAATTTATTGTTGACGAAAAGTAAAAACCCTCCTTAAAATTCAATATTTGTCCAAGAGATTTGTTTCAAAGCAAATTAGTAAATTTAAGAATTAATCAACAGAATTTAGTAAATTAGTGTTGTAGTCACGTGATAAATCGTGAAAAAAGCAGATATTGCAGTGACTTGTCTAGCAGAATTATTACGACTGACTTGATCGAGTTAAACTAAAAAGTGTTGTGTCCTGCCAGATCAAGCATCACTACATAAATATGTTTAATTTTGTTTAAAACAATAATGACAATAAGGTACGTCGAGTAATCTATGAGGTTTCATCCCGGTTAAATAACAATTGAATAGACTTTGTCACTTTAACTGTCACCGCCAATCACGTCCTTCTCAAACAAATGTTATCTCAAAGCACACGTAAAATTGTCAAAAATACAGAAGATATGGACTACAATCTAGAAATTGGTTTATGTTCAAAAATAAATTAACTGAACATAATATAAGAAAACATTTAAGAATAAAAATAAAAGAAAATTAAAACATCAAATATTAAATTATTTAAAAATAGATAATTATTCAAAGTCTTTAAAAAAGGGATAGTTTCTAAATTGTCCGCCAAGGTAGAATGAAAGCAGAGCTGTTATTGTCTCATCTGACCAACTAGGACTCATTACATGCTGTTTAACACCAATGCTGTTAAAACGCACCTCTTGATTGGCTGATTTCTTTATTTTCTTACGATTGGCTGTGACAAACAATTTATTTTTATCCCACATTAAAGTATAGAACGGAAATTAATTAAAAACGAGTTAAATTACATTTTAATTCATTTATTTTATTATTTTTCTACCTGCTTGATGTCGTAAAATACAATGAGATTTTTTAAACTGTTCTTATTTTTTGATGTCGAAAAATACAAATGAGGATTTTTTAAACTGTTCTAATTACTTTTTTTTAAAATTTTTTAAAAACTGAAATCTTTTTACAAATAAAAATTTTGAAGGTAATTTTGGTTTTCATTTAATAAGAAAAAAAGAACTTTTAAATGAAAAATAAGAAAACTTTTTAGCAATATCTATTGTAAATGACTGATAATTGCTCTCAAAAAATTTACAAACAGTAAGTTTTAGGGATTTTTTTTAAAATATGAATCTGAAATCTTTTTACTTATTAATTAAAAGTGTTTTTCATTTTGTACACCGTTTTTTGTTTGTTTACCCTTTTACCTCTCGATTCTCGCTGCGACTTCCCCAAGTTTTTTGTTACTGTCTTTATTTTTTATTTTTTTTTTATTCTCTCTCTTTCCGTGTGTTTCTAGGGAATAAACTAGTCTTCCTTTTTAGCATTATTTTTCCTTCCTAGTCTTTTGATTACGCCTTTTTGATTACGCCGTTATCATCTACTCTCGGCAACGTGATAGCCACGAGATGTGTGTTTTCTTTTGGCGGGATCTTCAGAGTTCTTTTTGGTTCGGTACCTGCTTGCATGCACCCTTACTCGCCGCTCCGCCTTTCTTGATAACTTTGGTATGTTTTATTCCATTCTCCTTTTTTTTTTCTTTATTCGCCTTTGTATTGAAAATGTATTGTGGTAACACTACAAGTAGTTTTTGCCTCCGTATTTCCGGACGCTCATTCAACAAGTTTGTGCTTTCGAGCCCTGAATTTTGATATTTAGAAAGAATGTAGGACCTTTCTATGTTTGACTTTGCTCTGTCGTTTAGACATACTGCTTTACCATGTCTACCATTGTTAATTGCCTCTTCCTGGCTCTCAACGCTTAGCTGCCTTTCCGAATTTGTTGCTGTCATATTTAACATAAATACGACACGTGCTTCGCTGGTCTTAGCCACCTTCGCCACTACCGTCTGCCTTGCGGCTGCTGGTAGTAAGTTAGCTTACTTTTTCTTTCTTTCTTTGTTCTCTCTGCTTCCTTCTCTGTCTCTCGTCTCCCCTTCCTCTTGGTCCCTTTCGTCGCAGCGGACTCATGTTTTTTGTTCATTTTTTCTTTCAGATTTTTTACCTGATTCACAGAATAAAATCTTTCGTTTTCCAATGAAATTCGTCCGTGTTTTGTGAATTCGAGTTTACGCTGGCTGTCTAAAGCAGCGTGTTTTTTAGCATGTTGTCCAAGGCAGCACAGTAAAAAATCAAAGATTTATTCGCACGTGGCGCAAGGTCTTCCATAATGCAGTGTGACCAGCTTCCTCTCCCACGGCTCCTTGCGGATTTCTCTACTGGACTGCTCCCGGCGTAAAACTAATTTGACAGCTATTAGCCTTTTCAACGACCCGTGACGCTCCGGCACTCTTTGTCTACCCTTCTCTGCAACAGATCCCAGCACGCTTCAACAAACGCCATGGACCAAAAGTCCGTTGTCTCTAATAGAACGCGCTCCAGGTTCTCTTCTGCCTCATCTAAGGCCTTAGCTGTCCGTGCCGAACTGGAGATGGCTAAAGCAGGCCTGCTCTTCGTGGAGAGAGAGAATAAACTGCGCGAAGCAAAGGCTAAAATGGAGTCTGAAGAAAAAAACTCTAGAGGCTCAAAGAGATAGCTCTCAAAGAAGCCGCACTAAAGGCCTTTTTGAAGAGTATGTCTCGCTTAGTGAAGAAAAAATCCAGCATCCACCTTGACCAGACTCCTGCTGATCCCATGCAGCGTACGAGAGAATATGTGGCCGAACAGTCGGCCCAACTCAACTCACAACCTGCTGCCCCGCAATTGGTACAATCATCTGCCCTGCAACACACACGCTCTCCTGCATCTCAATTCGATCAGCCCACCAACTCAGAAGCCTCCTTCCGCTACTTCCCCGATCCATCTGAGGATCATCGGAGGAGGTGCTCAACTGAAAACCGCCATGACCACTCCAGTGACTTAATGCGTTACTTCGCCCGGCGTGAATTACTTCAAGCCAGTATGCTGAAATTCTCTGACAGACCTAAGGACTATCGAGCATGGAGACGTTCCTTTCGCAACTCCATTGTCGACCTGCGTTTGACACCGAGTGAAGAAATGGACTTGCTTGTGAAATGGCTCGGCCCTGCCTCCACTGAGCATGCCAACCGTTTAAGGACAGCCTACCTTAACCATCCTGAGAAGGGCCTGCAGGAAATATGGAAGCGTTTGGAAAAATGCTACGGGTCCCCTGAAGCCATCGAAGACTCACTCTTCGAAAGGATCCATAGGTTCCCAAAGGTAACCAAGGACTACGACAGACTGAGGGAGCTAAGCGACCTCCTCACCGAACTCCAAGCAGCTAAGGACGATGGTGATCTCCCCGGCCTTGCCCTCCTGGACACTGCTCGGGGTCTCAGGCCTATTGTGGAGAAGCTTCCGCCTACACTACGAGACCAATGGACCTCCCATGGCACGACATACAAGCGGAAACACCAAGTGCCATTCCCCCCATTCTCAGTGTTTACTAAGTTCATCGAACAACAAGCAGAAGATAGGAACGACCCCAGCTTTCGTCTTACCACAGATACTTGGCCCTCGCAAAACATGGACCGAACAACCACACCACAGCGGAAAGAAATTTCAGTCCACAAGACTCAGATTGCATCAAAAGATATCAAAGAGATATGCCCCATCCATAACCTGCCTCACCCTCTTCGTAGTTGCCGGGCATTTAGAAGCAAACCCTTTCCAGAGAGACAAGCCTATCTGAGACAACACAACATCTGTTTCCGATGTTGCGCTACCCATGTCAACAAGGACTGCAGGTTCAAGCCTAAATGCGCTGAGTGTGGCAGTGAAAGCCACAACACTGCTCTTCACCCTGAACCCGTACCACAAACGACACCCATCAGAGCCATGCCAAACCATGGCGGGGAGAACAACGATATTACAGCCCACTGCACACAGGTTTGTGGTAACAACTTAATCGAAAAATCTTGTTCAAAAATTTGCCTGGTGAAGGTGCATCCACAAGGCCAGAGAAACAAGGCAGTCAGGATGTATGCCGTGATCGACGAACATAGCAACAAGTCACTTGCTCGTCCAGAGTTCTTCGAGTTGTTCAGTGACCACGGCCCCACATCTTCTTACTCACTTAGGACTTGCGCTGGAGTCATAGAAACGGTTGGGAGAAGAGCCTATGGATACAGAATTGAATCCATAGATGGACACACCAGCCTGCCCTTCCTACATTAATCGAGTGCGCTGATGTGCCGGATAATCGCGCAGAAATCCCAACACCAGAAGCAGCCCTTCACCACAAACACTTGGCTAGAATAGCAGCGGAGATTCCTAACTTGGACCAGCGGGCCCCTATTTTGCTACTCCTGGGTCGTGACATTATTGAAGTACATAAGGTTCACGCCCAGATCAATGGTCCTCACAGCGCCCCTTATGCTCAGAAATTAGACATGGGCTGGGTGATAGTGGGGAACGTATGCCTCGGGGGACGATAAACCGTCCACTGTTGACACCTTCTTCACCAGCACCCGAGAAGGAAGCCGCCCAACAAACTTTGAGCCTTGTCCCAACACATTCCGAGCCAAGGAAAGATACTGCCGGAAAGGATTGGGCAGCTCCGTCTTTCAACCGACCAAGGAGGACGACCGACTGGCCTACTCCATAGAGGACAGAATCTTCCTTGATATCATGGAAAAAGGTGTGAAAAGGAATAGTCACCGCAGCTGGGTAGCACCTCTTCCATTCAAGCCATACAGACTGCGACTCCCTAATAACCGACAACAAGCAGTCAGTCGGCTCAACTCGCTAACTCGCCAATTCAGGAAGAAACCGTATTTTTTCACAGGACTGTTACTACTCCTTCCCTTTTCTTCTTTTCTCCTTCCTTTCCCTGCCAGATGCATGCCCTTCAACCTTTCAAATGTAAAACAAACTTGAACTAGAAACCTTCACACGAACTTTTTGAGATCTCACAATCTCAGGCGGGGAGTGTCACGTTTTTAACGTCAACCTTCTGTCCTTAGGGACAAATTCACTGTACACCGTTTTTGTTTGTTTACCCCTTTTACCTCTCGTCTCGCTGCGACTTCCCCTTTTTTGTTACTGTCTTTATTTTTTTTTTTTTTATCTATTTCTCTCTCTTTCCGTGTGTTTCTAGCATAAACTAGTCTTCCTTAGCATTAATTTCCTTCCTTTTTGATTACGCCTTACCGTTATCATCTACTCTCGGCAACGTGATAGCCACGAGATGTGTGTTTTCTTTTGGCGGGATCTTCAGAGTTCTTTTTGGTTCGGTACCTGCTTGCATGCACCCTTACTCGCCGCTCCGCCTTTCTTGATAACTTTGGTATGTTTTATTCCATTCTCCTTTTGTTTTTTCTTTATTCGCCTTTGTATTGAAAATGTATTGTGGTAACACTACAAGTAGTTTTTGCCTCCGTATTTCCGGACGCTCATTCAACAAGTTTGTGCTTTCGAGCCCTGAATTTTGATATTTAGAAAGAATGTAGGACCTTTCTATGTTTGACTTTGCTCTGTCGTTTAGACATACTGCTTTACCATGTCTACCATTGTTAATTGCCTCTTCCTGGCTCTCAACGCTTAGCTGCCTTTCCGAATTTGTTGCTGTCATATTTAACATAAATACGACACGTGCTTCGCTGGTCTTAGCCACCTTCGCCACTACCGTCTGCCTTGCGGCTGCTGGTAGTAAGTTAGCTTACTTCTTTCTTTCTTTCTTTGTTCTCTCTTGCTTCCTTCTCTGTCTCTCGTCTCCCCTTCCTCTTGGTCCCTTTCGTCGCAGCGGACTCATGTTTTTTGTTCATTTTTTCTTTCAGATTTTTTACCTGATTCACAGAATAAAATCTTTCGTTTTCCAATGAAATTCGTCCGTGTTTTGTGAATTCGAGTTTACGCTGGCTGTCTAAAGCAGCGTGTTTTTTTCTTTTGCTTCATTCAAGTATAAAAACATAGGGACAATCAAAAGAAATATCAAGATTTTTCTTATCAAGTTTTCAAAGGATAAACTTCTTTTGCTTCATCAAGTAACATATATCAAAGAAATATCAGTGCTTCTGAGAAACACTCCATACATTAAAAGTATAAAAGATCATTAATCAATGGCTTGTTTCCTGACTTATCAACTTTTCAAAAGATAATTGTCTTTTACTTCATCAAATAGCAGTGACATATATCAAAGAAATTTTAGTGTTTCTGAGAAACAAGTTGTTTTAAAAACAAATTGTTGAATAGAAATTAAAGTTGCAAAAAACTATGCCTAAAATACAGCACAGATTTGGACAAACTTATTCAAGAAAAATTTTTCCTAAGAAGAAATCATCTTTAAGAATGAAATTGCCTAATAGTCTTGCAATGAAACACTAGAGATAAGCCAAAACAAGGAAGCAAGGATTTCTGCATCTTGAAGAACAGAGTGTCAGAGAAGAATGGAGACAGCAAGAATCTGAAGAACAAAGATTTCAAGGAGAGAGAGAGAGTTAGATCTGAACATCTGAGAAAGAAGGAATTCGAGGAACAAAGATTGTACAGACTTTAAGGAGAAAAGGACAGACACAAACAGAACATATATCAAGAATCAAAAGAGCAAAGATCACAAAGATTTTAGTTGAGACAGCGAGAATCTGAAGAGGAAAGATCGTTAACAATTCAAGATCAAAGAATAAGAACTGAACAACAAAATCAAATTCAATATGTGGAACAAAGGTTGCAAAGACAATACCAAGAAAGGATATGACATACTCAACTCCAAGCAAGAAAAAGAATGCAGTAGAAATCAGCTGCATTTAAGTATGATATGCTTCTGAAGCCTCAATTTAAATTGGTTCCATAGGCAAATTTTGTTTTCATTGTGGTGCAGAAAAGAGGAGGGGAATATATTAGATTATTTTGTTCCAATGGCTAAATTAGATTGGAAGATTATCCTGATCCATCAGATTTGTTGAAACTTCTTGTGAAGAGAGACTATATGAACTTTAGAAAAAAATATCTGAAAATACAACAATGTATTCCGGATGACTTCCTTCGGCACTAAGATCATTCATGAGGGACACTTTATGCCCACATTCAAATGTAGAAACAAATTTGTCACAGAATTGGAGTAGTTCAACCACTACTTAATGAAAAACCTCTGTGTTTGCAGATATATTTTCTTAGTGATCTTAGGCAGCATGCTGAGAAAAGAGTTCAAGTAAACAATGATAGAGACATTGATCTTATGTGAAATCGCCAAGAAATGCTACATGAAAAGGATAGTCATATGCGAAGTTTCAAATATTCTCTAGAGGCAGATCTATATCCTGAGTTGGCAGTCAAGATAGATTCAGAAAAGAGATCCTCTGAAGAACAGTCTCAGCAATATAATGCACTTGAGTGTAATGAAGTTGCCATAATAATGAGGAGTGAAGAACCTATGATGTCATCATGACATCATAGGAGAGACAATCAGATAAAAAGAATAAGTGGACTTTGTCGTTCATATGATGCTTTGAAATATCTTCTATTTTTATTTGTGAATGGAGAGGATGGATATCATCTAAACATTTCCAAGACTGGAGCAGAAACTGGTAAAAACAAGACTGTCTTTGCCTAACATTTCATGATTCATCCAAATATATTCAATCATCTACACAGAAGTCAACAACTGTTCCACTAGTATACAGTTAACATGTATGCCAAAATTAAATCAGAGAGATTAGCATACCTTAGGAGGAACCAAAAAGAAACTCAGATCTAAAGTGTATGATCACTTGAAAAATGCAATCAATAATGATGCTGCTGGAACAGAATGCTTACATAAAGGTTTATGGGAAGCCCATGATAGATGCATGAAAGAACACAAGATGCAATGGTTTATTTTAGCCAATATGGTCATCCATATTTATTCATAACCTTCAGCAGCAATCCAAAAGGGAAAAAGTTCAAAATGAACTGCTTGAAGAATAGTTGCATGTTCACAGATGATATTTCTGTTCTCCAACACCAAAATAATCCACTTGAAATCAGTAATTACCAGAAAAGTTGATATATCAGTAGCAATAAAGCTTTCTGAAGTCTATAAAATGTTTACATTTTTATACAATAGGTTATTTTATCCCATACAATGCCTGGTTCTTCCATTAGTTGATAATTATGACTTTTTATTCATGGACAAAACTGACTAGGAATCACAAAATTAAATGTTTCATTGAAAGCAAAATATTGCAAACGCCTGTAATGTAATTCATCAAAAATCAGTGAATTAACTGAGATTCAAACTGAATTTTCAGTATGTATTCAGCAATTTTATTTTAGTAAAATAAATTGTGATATCAAGTGTGAAAATACAGAAAATAACTCAATAAAACTCAAAAAATTAATTTTTCTAACAGTGCTAGTGGAATTTAACAAGATATGTAATTTTCTTTCAGATTGGCCAGAAAAATCTACACTTCATCACTTTTTAAGATTATTTTAATTGAAGAAAAACATGAATGATGTATCCAAAAAAAATTAAGTTAAATGCCACTTTTGAGTGTGAAGCTTTTTTTTTTTAAGAAATTCATTCTTTTTTTAATTTTAGTAAATGATAAAATATTTTTAATCAGATGTTCAGAAAGGAAATAATTCTGAATTATCACCTTTGACTAAATTGCCCTACTGGAAGCAATGGCATCACTAGAGTGTGTGTTACCTGCAGCAGCCCTTGACTTTGCTCACTCATAGGCCTCCACAAAAAATATAATTTTTATACCATTGTAATATTACTTTCAAATACTCAAATATAGTCTGAATTCTGTTTTTAAAATAATCAACAGCAATAAAATGTTCGAGTCTTTTTCTCTCAATTGTCAGTCGTTCAACTCTGAACCGACTGTTTGGCTGTACTCTCTTTCTAGACGGGAGGAACCTGAAGGAGGCTACGCCGAATGGCGGAGTCTCCTTCGGGGAGGTAAAACCGGCCCTGAACCCGTTTATACGGGTTCAATGGGCATATTTTTGGCCGAGCCCACGTTAAAAAGGCCTTGTGCCACATGACACCCTCGTGGGGGGGGTGACTGAATATCGTCTTTTTCTCTCAATGAAGAACTTACCTTTATCTATTTGACATATTTATCATCCAAAGGATCCAACGGGATTAGGAAGACATATTTCTCAGTAAGTTCATGAAGCTGTTGAAGGTATTTCTTGGATCATTCTATCCAGAATTCATACAAGGATAAAATGTCCCCACACAAAATATTAATAAAAGTTTGTTTACTCACATGAAAACACTTGTGACTTGGATTGTTCAAAGTAACAAGAAAGATA